ACATGCGTCACATGTATGAAGACCCCATATGAGTGCAAATGGCAGCCAGGCGTCTTAAGGACCTTTGTCAAGGGAGGTGCCCCCTGCAAGAGTTTATTTCTGAATTTCAGCTTTTGTGCCTGGACTCCAACTGGAATGACACAGTGTTAATGGACGCCTTCCAGGATGGCCTGTCAGATGAGCTGCAGGATGAGTTAGTTTGAGTGGAACCGGCCCGACGCTCTGGTGGTGCAATGCTTGTGCATCGACGCACGTCTCCAATGGTGAAAGAACCGTCGCACCATCCAGGAGCAGCCATCTGCTTTGTACCGCAGCGCCCTGTGCTAACAGCACCCTGGGTCACCCAACGTGTAATGGCAATGGCCGAGGAGCCAATGGAGTTAGGAGCAGTCAGACCTCACCTGACGGCCCAGGAGCGAACACGGAGATGCCAAGGGGGTTTGTGCTTGTGGGGGGGGGAACATTTCGCTATTTCTTGTCCTCTAAAGCGAAGTGGGGCACTCAAGCCTGTGCCTGACTCTCGGCATGATAAGTCGGAAAATGGGGCAGGCCCGACCTGGGGGGAAACCCTAGTCCAGGCACGTATCAAACATCCACCTGAATTAGCGGAGGTTGACTCTGGGCCCCCTCAGCATCTGATTTTGGACATTCGGGTTTTCTTGGCTAACCAGTCGGAAGGGATTCCAGCCCCTGGTGGACTCAGGGGCCATGACTAACTTTATGGACCAGGCCTTTGCAGCCCATTTTGATGTCCCCTTGGTTTCAGTGGAACCTCCGATGAGGGTTGAGACTATTGATGGGCGGGAACTTATTGCAGGACCCATTAAATTCTCCACCCAGCCTTTGCGCCTAGTCATTGGAGAACATGAGGAGGCGATCCACTTTTATATCACCACGGACCTCCAGTTTTCCTTAGTCCTCGGCATGGCTTGGCTTAGGATTCATGATCTTCAGGTGGCATGGTCGCGGAACACCGTTTCTATTCCGAGTCTGCAATGCGTGGACCACACCTGTGCTGGCCAGGACATCACCACCTCTGCTGTCTCCATACCTCCTGAACTGACGGACTTACGGATGTGTTCAGTGAGAAGGAGGCGGACCGGTTACCCCCGCATCGGCCCTATGATTGCCCAGTGGACCTTCTGCCCAATGTACCACTGCCAAAGGGATGATTGTACTCCATGTCCGAGCCCGAGCTGGCCGCACTACGGGACTTTTTAGACAAAAACTTGGCCCGAGGGTTCATCTCAGCCCCAGTCCTCTTTGTCAAGAAGACGGGAGACTTACATTTGTGCTCTGATTACCATCGACTAAACGCCATCACGGTGTAGAATAGCCGCTCATTCCAGAGTTGTTGGAGAGATTGTGGGAGGCCGCTATTTTCACCAAGCTCAATCTTTGAGGGGCCTACAACCTGGTGTGGATGCAAGAGTGGGACGAATGGAAGACGGCATTTGGCACCCGATACAGCCATTTTGAGTACACTGTGATACCGTTTGGGTTGACCAACGCCCCACAGTCTTCCAGCACCTGATGAATGACATGTTTCGGGATATGTTTGATCGGTTTGTGGTGGTGTACCTGAACGATATTCTGATCTATTCCAGGTCCAGGGACAGCCACCTTCAACATGTTCATCTGGTCTTGCAACGCCTTTGGGAGCACCAACTTTATGGGAAGCTGGAGAAATGCTTCTTCTTCCAGACTTCCATTGAGTTCCTTGGGCACATCATCTCTCCCAAAGACATCACCATGGACCCGCGTAAGGTGGAGGCCTTATGTAGTTGGGAACCCCCTCGTGGCGTGAAGGACGTTCAATGCCTATTGGGATTTGCTAACTATTACCGGACCTTCATCCCAGGTTTTGCCAAGCTGACGGGTCCAATAACCCAGCTCCTTCAAAAGAAGGTTCTGTTCCAGTGGGGCCCCCTGCAGCAACAGGCTTTTGAGGCCCTCAAGAATGCTTTCGTCACAGAACCCATCCTGAGGCACCCTGATCCACATCATCCTTTTGTGGTGGAGACGGATGCGTCCAATGTGGCTATTGGGGCGGTGTTGTTGCAAGCCCCAGTGGATAGCGCCACTCTTTTTCCCTGCGCTTATTATTCCCAGAAACTCAGTCCTTCCAAACGCAATTACACCATCTGGGAAAAAGAGTTGCTGGCTATCAAGGCTGCGTTTGAGGCTTGGCGACATCATCTCGAGAGGGCCTGACACAAGGTGGAGGTCCGGACGGACCATCAGAATTTAGAACATTTCTCAACAGCAAGAAAGTTGAACCAGTGGCAGATCCGGTGGTCGTTGTTTTTTGCCCAGTTCAACTTTTCTGTGACCTATATCCCCAGTGGTCACAATCGGAGGGTGGATGCCCTGTCCCACAAACCCAAGTACCTTTGCCCTGAGGACCCCCTTCCTCCACGAACGGTGCTGCCAGCAGAATCCTTGGCCGCAGTCCAAGAACCAGTGGATTTGCGGACTCAGGTGCGAGAGGCACAGTGCCTAGACGCTTGGTCGCAGCAGAGGATGGGGGAGATTGGACCCGAATCCCCATGGACTTTGGAGGAGGGTTTACTCAAGCATCGGGACCAGTTGCATGTACCCACGGGGCCACTTCGAGCCCTTATTATGACTCAGTGTCATGACAACCCTGCAGCCGGCCATTTTGGTTTTTTTAAGATTCTCCATCTTGTAACGCGGACTTTTTGGTGGCCTTGAGTACGGCATGATGTCCACGCCTATGTCACGTCCTGTGTACCATGCAGGCAAGCAAAAACCACGACGGGTGTGCCTCCTGGTCTCCTACAACCTCTGCCGACTCCAGAAAGACCATGGGGAGCAATTTCCATGGACTTCTTGACTCATTTACCGCCATCCTCTGGATTTACAACTGTGCTGGTGGTGGTCAACATGTTGACAAAAATGGCCCACTTCATTCTGTGTTGTAAATTGCCAACGGCCCGTACAACTGCCCATTTGTTCTTGCAGCATGTTTTTCGTCTCCATGGTCTGCCAGACAGGGTAGTTTCTGACCGCGGTGTACAATTTACAGCCCAATTTTGGAAAAGTCTGATGACTGCATTACAGGTGCATGTGTGCTTGTCATCAGCGCACCATCCAGAGACTGATGGGGGGACGGAGAAGGTCATTGGCATTCTCGAGCAATACTTGCGTTGTTTTGTAAACCAATGGCAGAACAACTGGACTGATTATCTCCCTCTGGTGGAGTTTGCATTCAACAACTCCCAGCACACCTCCACCCAAATGACACCATTTTATGTTAATGTCGGTTTTTCCCTTTGACACTATTAGATTCCCATGTTTCTAAGACCCAGGAATTCCTTTTGGAACTTCACTCAGTTCATCAGTTAGTTCAGCAGCAATTGATACAGGCCAAGGAAGATTACAAGCGGTTTGCAGATCGCTCTCGACAGGCAATGCCTGGCTGTAGGAGACCATGTGTGATTATCCACAAAACATCTTCAGGTCGTCCACCCGATAAAGAAGCTGGACCATTGGTTCATCGGCCCATTTCCCATCAAGGCGGTCATCAACCCCGTAGCCTATCGACTGACTCTACCGCGCTCCATGTGAATTCATCCAGTCTTCCACCATTACCTTTTGGTCCCTGATGCCCCTTCATGTTATCTCTGATGTCCCACAGCTGTTGATCCATCACCTGTGCCCGGGGAAGATGGCGCAGTAGAAGGCAAGGTGGTCAGCATTAGGAATTCCCGCTGGCTAAAAGGGAGGTTCCAGTATTTGATCGAGAGGCAGGGGGATGGGCTGGAGGCCCTCTCCTGGGTGGATGCTTCCATGATCCATGCCCCGGACCTTATACCACATCCTGACCATCAGACTCGGGGGAAGGGCCCTGGGTGGGGGATAGTGTTGTGGCCACAATTCCTGAGCCTATGCTGTCAGAGGAAGAAGACCTGGAAGATGAGGAGGAGGAACTGGGAATGCCTTCCTCCCCAGGACCTTCCTCTCTGGCAATGCCTTCCTCCCTGATAATGCCTCAGGTTTCATCAGACAACTGAGAGGAACAGCCTGAGATTAATCAGGAGGAAGGCATATAGGAGCAGCCCCTGACAGGGAGTAAAGAGGAAGATTGTTGGCTTGATCTTAAGCAGCATCGTAGGGAGAAACATGAGCAGCAACATGGGGTGTTGGGAAGGTCAGAGAGTGAGCTGAGTCATTGAGCCACACCCCACAGGGGATAAAAGTGGGTGTGTTTTCAGCTGGAACTTTGTACGGGACAAAGTTTAATCTTACTTCAGATTTTCTTCGTGAATGATTTTTGTGGACTGCCTTGTAATTTTCTGTGAGTAGATTTTTATTTGTTATCAGTTCGGACTTGGCAGGCAGAGTGTGCTGGAATGCCAAGGATATTATCAGTTCCAAAGAATTAACTCTGTGAAGTCCGAGCCAGCTTGCCTGCCTGTGTTTATGTGAGTTTGTATGCTTTCATCTTTTGGGAAAGAAGAAAAGTGAGACAGAACACAAAATATCACCACAAATTATCAATGCCTCAATATTGGATTATTAGTTCCTAGAATAACAAATCATCCCTCTATCTAGACCTGTGATGGCGAACCTATGGCACGCGTGCCAGAGGTGGCACATAGAGTCCTCTCAGAGGGCATGCGTGCCATCACTAGCTGCTCTTCTGGTTTCCGGTGCACACAAAATGGTCTGACATGGCCTTAAAAACCACCAAAAATGGCCAGTAAAACCACCCAAAAATGGTCCCTAAAACGCTAAAAAAACAGGCATGTACGCACCAGGCACACACATGCACATACATGCATGCATATTCTCGTTTGGGCATTCAGTGCTGTAAAGGTTTGCCATCACTGTGATAGTGGATTTCTTTTAGTGGAAAAGGGGTTCTTTATAAACAATTGTGTTTCCTTTTATGCTGCATATTGTTAAAATATATAATTAAGAGTAAATTAGTAGACAAACCAATTATTAATGCTGTTTAATTTTCTGCTTTTCAGGAATAATTTTACCTCAAAAAAGCAAGCTTGATATTCCTATATTATTTGCCCCTCTTTCTATGAAATTCTATGAAACTTTTCTTGTTATTGAAGTTAAGAAAATAGATGAAGAAAACTGGATTTATGATGACACATTTGAATTAAGGGAAGCAGTAAACAGGTAAGTATTTTAATCATTAGATATCCATAAGTAATGTTGGTTTAAATTTGAAATCATTATGTGAATTTAGTTGATAAATTTATTTAATAATTTATATAATTAAGTGTTGTGACTGGGAGGTTTGAGCCTGCTGTGTGCTTTGAGTCTGATGTGTCAGAAGACACAGGTTCGAGTGATGAGGAGGGTTTGGCATTGGGATTTGAGCCTGCTTTAATGGGAGATGCAGACGTGAGCCAGGAGGATGAGGAAGTGTCGGAATCACCATCCTCTCCAGAACCTTCCTCATCAATTATGCCTCAGGTGTCAGCAGATGATCGACAGAACGTGCCGGAGTCCTTGGGTGATGATCAAGCCGATGAATATTGGGTTGATGTAAGGACTAGACGGAGGCTGAGACGTCAAGCACAAATTGAAAGGAAACATCAAATCAGGGACTGAGTAGAGAGACTGACACGCCCCTTCAAGGAATATAGTGTTAGCTTGGAATCCCCATTTTGGTCAAACTTTGTTATTTACGTTCGCAGTTTGGAAAAAGTTTTCTGTTTGCTGTTCGGCTCTGATATATAGTGCTGCTCGTTATCTGGATTTGCAGACAGCTTCTGGGAAAGCTGCCAACGACGACTTCAGCCAGAGGAAAGTTAATACTATTGTTCCTGATATTGTCTGTTCGTGTTTTTTCCTTTGGACATTTGGACTCTCACCTTGTGGTCACAGGTGAGACAGAACATTTTTTGACCTGAACCCTCATCCCATCTTCTAACCAAGATGGACAAAACACAGATAGAGCAGCAGCAGCTGCAGATTAACCAACTTCTGCAGGATAACCAGGTATTGCAGAAACAAGTCACGCAGCTGGTTAACCATCTTACGCTGATGCAAGCTCCTGTTACTCCTTCTGCCCCTCCCCGTAGAAAATGCCTGGTAGCTGTGCCGGATAAATTCTCTGAACAGACTGAAATGTTCCCAGCTTTTATGGGGCAGTGTCCTTATGTCCAGAAGATTTCCCTGATGACTGGGCTCGGGTGGGGTTTGTTATCAGTCTCTTGTCGGGTTTGGCTGCAAGATGGGCCACTCCTTTGTTGGTGCAAAATAGTCCTTTATTGAATGACTATCAGGGCTTTTGGCACCATTTACGTTCTATGTATGAGGACCCCATAAAAACTCAAACCGTAGCCAGACATTTAAAGGACATTCGTCAAGGGAAACGCCCTTTGCAAGAGTTTTTTGCAGAGTTTCATCTGCTCTTCATGGACTCTGCTTAGAATGAGGCAGCCCACATGGACGCTTTTCAGGAGGGTTTGGCAGAAGAAATTCAAGATGAGTTGGTGCATGTGGAGCCGGCTCTAACCCTGGATGCGCTGGTGGTGCAATGTTTGCACATTGATGCCTGGCTTCAACAGCACAAGACTAGACACCCAGTTCCAGAGCCGCCCTCCCACTCACGGCCGCAACCTCCTGTACAACCAGTGCCCCTGGTATCCCATAGTGCCGTGACCAGGACTGAGGAACCGATGGAATTGGGTGCGCTCCGCCCTCGGTTGACGGCACAAGAACGCACACGGAGATTTCAGGGAGGCTTGTGTCTGTATTGTGGGGGGTCAGGACATTTTGCCAGTTCCTGTCCTGGTAAACGAGGGGGGACACGAAAGCCAGTGGTTGAATCTAATCCTGTACCGTCAGGAAACAGGGCAAGCCCGACCTCGGGTAAACCCTAGGTCGGGCACATATCACACAACCGCCTGAAGTAGCGGAGGTGAACTCTGATCCTCCCCAACATTTGCTTTTGGACACGCAGGTTTTCTTGCAGTCCCAGTCGGAGGGGATTCCTGCGGTTGCATTGGTGGACTTGGGGGCTACTACCAATTTCATGGACCAGGCTTTTGCAACACATTATGAAATTCCTTTAGTTGCGGTGGAGCCTCCCATTAAGGTGGAAACCATTGATGGGTGGGAACTGCGGTCTGGGCCTATTCGTTTTGCTACTCAGCCGTTACGCCTGGTCATTGGGGACCATGAGGCGATTAATTTTTATATCACCTCGGATCTCCATCTCCCCTTGGTTCTCAGAATGGCTTGGCTACGGTTGTACGGTCCTTCATCCCGGGTTTTGCCAAACTGACGGATCCCATCAGCCAGCTCCTTTGCAAGAAGGTTCCATTCCAGTGGGGGGCCCTACAGCAACAGGCCTTTGAGGCCATCAAGAAAGCCTTCGTTGCGGAACTGATCTTGAGGCATCCCAACCCCCATTGTCCATTTGTAGTGGAGATGGATGCATCCAACGTGTCCATTGGGGTGGTGTTGTTACAAGCCCCAGCGGATGGTGCACCTCTTTTTCCATGCACATATTATTCACGGAAACTTACTACTTCTGAGCGTAATTATACAATTTGGGAGAAAGAGTTGCTGGCCATTAAGGCTGCGTTTGAGATCTGGCGACATCACTTGGAGGGCGCTCGGCACAAGGTGGTAGTTCAGACAGATCATCGTAATCTGGAGCACTTCACCACTGTTTGGAAATTGAACCAACGACAGATCCGATGGTCGTTGTTCTTTGCTAGGTTCAATTTTTCGGTCACGTACATCCCTAGTGGTCAAAATAAAAAGGCAGATGCCCTGTCCCGCAAACCGGAATATCTGTGTCCTGAGGAACCTCTTCCTCCACATATGGTGCTGCCACCGGAATCTTTGGCTGTTATCCAGGAACCGGTGGATTTGAGGGCTCGGGTATGAGAGGCGCAGTGCTTAGACAATTGGTCGCAGCAGCGAATGGGGGAAATTGGACCTGACTCCCCATGGACTCTGGAGGAGGGTTTACTATGACATCAGGGTCGATTGTACGTGCCTACCAGGACACTTAGAGCCCTCATCATGACCCAATGTCATGACAACCCAGCTGCGGGTCATTTTGGGTTCTTCATCTGGTCACAAGGACTTTTTGGTGGCCTCGAGTCCGGCATGATGTCTTTGCTTATGTTGCCTCTTGTGTACCATGTCGGCAAGCAAAAGCTGCATCGGGTGTGCCTCCTGGCCTTCTTCAACCACTACCGACTCCGACCCAAACTTGGGGGGCAATTTCCATGGACTTTTTAACACACTTGCCCTCTTGGTCGGGTTATACGACAGTACTTGTGGTGGTTGACATGCTCATCAAGATGGCCCATTTCATCCCATGTAGAAGGTTACCATCGGCTCGTGTTACTGCCCAGCTTTTTCTGCAACATGTATTCCGTTTGTATGGCTTACCGGACAGTTTTTTTCAGATCACGGTGTCCAGTTCACCGCTCAATTCTGGAAGAGCCTAATGAATGCATTATGGGTGCAAGTATGTTTAGCGTCAGCGCACCATCAGGAAAGTAATTGGCATCCTCGCCCAATACCTCAGATGTTTTGTTAATCAATGACAAAACAACTGGGTGACCTATCTTCCTTTGGCGGAGTTTGCTTTTAACAATTCTCAATACACCTCCACCCACATGACGCCTTTTTATGCAAATGTGGGTTACCATCCGAGGTTTTTCCCCTTGTCGATCTTGGATTCCCCAGTTCCAGAGGTGCGAGAATTTTTATCAGAACTGCATTCGGTGCACCAATTGGTCTCACAACAATTGGAATGGGCTAAGGCGGACTACAAAAGGTTTGTGGATTGTTCGTGTCAAGCGAAACCTCCACTGGCTGTGGGTGACAGAGTGTGGTTATCCACAAAGCATCTACGGGTTGATCGTCCAATTAAGAAGTTGGACCATCATTTCATTGGTCCCTTCCCTATCGAGGTGGTCATCAATCCTGTTGCTTATCGGCTCACCCTACCGCGCTCCATGTGCATTCATCCTGTCTTCCACCATTCCCTTTTGGTACCTGACACTCCATCATGTACTCTCCGTTCTCCCGATGATACGGGTTCTCATCTGCACCCAGCGATGATCCTGTTGTTGATGCCACGGTGGTTGGCATTCACGATTCATGATGGCTGAAAGGACGATTTCAGTACTTCGTCAGGAGGCTGGAGAATGAAACAGAGATTCGCTCCTGGGAGGATGCGTCCAAGGTGCATGCCCTGGACCTTGGCTATATCATGCACAATTTCCATCGAAACCACATCCGGATCATCAGACTTGGGGGAAGGGCCCTGTGGTGAGGGATAGTGTTGTGACTGGGAGGTTTGAGCCTGCTGTGTGCTTTGAGTCTGATGTGTCAGAAGACACAGTTTCGAGTGATGAGGAGGGTTTGGCATTGGGATTTGAGCCTGCTTTAATGGGAGATGCAGACGTGAGCCAGGAGGATGAGGAAGTGTCGGAATCACCATCCTCTCCAGAACCTTCCTCATCAATTATGCCTCAGGTGTCAGCAGATGATCGACAGAATGTGCCGGAGTCCTTGGGTGATGATCAAGCCGATGAATGTTGGGTTGATGTAAGGACTAGACGGAGGCTGAGACGTCAAGCACAAATTGAAAGGAAACATCAAATCAGGGACTGAGTAGAGAGACTGACACGCCCCTTGAAGGAATATAAGGAGGCGTGTTAGCTTGGAATCCCCGTTTCGGTCAACCTTTGTTATTTACGTTCGCAGTTTGGAAAAAGTTTTCTGTTTGCCGTTTGGCTCTGATTTATAGTGCTGCTCGTTATCTGGATTTGCAGACAGCTTCTGGGAAAGCTGCCAACGACGACTTCAGCCAGAGGAAAGTTAACTCTATTGTTCCTGATATTGTCTGTTCGTGTTTTTTCCTTTGGACATTTGGACTCTCACCTTGTGGTCACAGGTGAGACAGAACAATTAAATAATAATTATTTAATAACTAATATAGAATATTTCACACATTAAATTTGAACAAGTATAGGACATGTTAAGAATTTCATTATATAAAACTTAAAAGATAATTCTGTACTGCCTAAAATTATTAGACTGTATAAGTATATCAAAATCATTTTTGGTTATATGATCAGACAACTCTTTCATAAGATTTGCCAGTTACCCAAGAGAGTATGGATACTTTTTAGCCAAATTGCCATCTTTGCTATTTTAAGCAAATTAAAGCATGCCTGATCTAATTATTAATTGCGGGAGTCAATATCTCTGTTATAAATAACCCGTGCTTTGCTACAAAACTATGTGATTGGGCTCATTTTTTGGGAAGGAAAATAAGGGGAAAAATGTGCTTCTTCCTACCAGCATCCATCGATATTCATCTGGCTAGTGTCCTGTCAGTGTGTGAGAGTTGAGGGCTGTTTGGAAACTGAAACTGAAACAATATTTGCTGTGAGAGCAAGAAGGAGACAGCAAGGAGTCTGGGCGTGGCTTAGATGTTCTGCTGTAAAACTGAAACTCCTCTCCTCTGCTTGTGTTTTGCATTTGGAACAGATTTCTTTTCAGGTGGGGAGGGGGAGTAGAACTCCTTAACATCAGAGCATATTAATAATAATATACAAAATGCTAATGCTCCAAAGGCCATTTTGAAATCCTTTCTTAGTGAGCACCTAAAAGCCAAGAGGAACCTACGTGCCAAATTTCAAGTTTGTAGGCTTTACAGGTCTGGAGATTTTGTGATGATGCATGAGTGATATTTTGCTTTTATATGCAAGAGATACAAGAAATTTCAAACAAGTGTTAAATAGATAGATAAGGCCACAAAGTAATTATTGTACTAGATTTTTTTAAAGTGATAATATTAATATTTGCTTATATTTCTTAGCCAAACTGTAATAATAAAGGATGAAGAACTTAAAGGACTTCGTTGGATCTACCCAATTTATGGAATTCCTGAAGCTCCACCTGATGAATCATCTCCAGGTATCAATGAGCAATTACATTAAAATTGGGTTGAGGAAAATGAAAAAAAAAAATTCTCTAGCTATGATCCAAGCTAAAATAAATGGAATAGTAGATTAAGAAAACTTAGCACAAACAATCAAATGATCAAGTAAATTACAATTGCTATTATAACCAATAAGTTCCTTCTTGTGGTATAGTCAAGAAATGTGGTTTTGTGTACAACTTGCATATCCCATTCAATATGTAATAGGGCTTGAAAAACTGCTATTGTCCTGGAAAACTGGAAGATAACTCAGGATTGCCAAAGTAATTCCATACAAATGAAACTCTCTCCAACTATCATTGCCTCTACCACTTTTTCAGCAGTTTCTTTGACAGTAGTTTATGCAGAAAGGAGAATAGCTAAACACATTTTCCCCTCTGTTTTGCATTTACTGTTTCAAAAAGAGAAAAATTAGCAGGTTGGAGAAGAGAAACTTCTCTTTCTCCCAATTACAATAGATGAAATAATAGTATGCAAGGATTGAGGCTGATAGAAATTAGAAAGTAGATACAGGAGGTTAATTATTCTCTATTTTGAATGTAAATACAACTTAAAGAATAATTTAGGCATAATATGAGAATTTGAGAATTTATAGTTTGCCAATCCACAATTATGCATTAAGAATTTTCCATGCATAACAATCATTGGAGATTTTAATTTATTAACTTTAATGTAATGAGAGACTTGAAGTATAGTCAACACTATCTTGGATCATTGCTGCCATCTCATTACCTTAGAGCAGGGGTGTAAAATTCACATCATCACGGCAGCTTCACATGCTGTATCAGGACCTTTTTCACCCTTCGCTAAACCAGGCATGGGGGTGGCCAGTGTGTGACACATCCGGCCCGCAGGCCAGGAGTTTGACAGTGCTTCCTTAGAGTGTCAAATCAATTGTATCTTAGTATGAAAAAGCTGAACCAAGAATACTGAAGGTATTGTTTGATATGCTGTATAGCAGTCATTAATTGCTTATTAAGACTATTGGAATTACATCCCATTTTAACTTTTAAGATTTAAATTGGGGGGAGCTCATTCTATAACAAATCAATTTTGTGATTGACTGTAAGCTAATTATGCATCTAAAACTTTTTTTGCATTGAATACAGCTGTTACAGAAATTTGTAAGGTAAAATTCTGGCAGCCTCTGACGATTAGATCAGGCAAGGGCAGAAGCAAAGGAAGTAATCTCACATTACAATTCTATTGATAGGTCCCATGTAGGATTTATGATAGTTTCTTTTTTATGAGAAGCTCTGCAGTATGATACTTTTCTGCAACAGAACCATCTAGATATGCATGCTAACTTCATAGCAAGGCTAAAAGCTGTCTTAGATATTTCTGCCAAATGGGTAATAGTCAACAAGAAGATGTGACATTTGCAAGTTGAATATGCAGTATATGACTAATTTTCAGTTGTTGGATCAGGACGTAGTTATTCATAGTTAATCAGTTTAAAGAGGGTCTATATCAGGAGTGTTAAACTCATGTGTCAGAGTTCTGATGGATGCCCTAATTCAGTGTCCCCCAACCTTTTTTGATCCGCGGCCCGGCACCGGCATCAGCACGCATGACAAGACAAGGTGAGCCGAGCGACCGGCCAGCCAGCCGTCCCCCGCTTCTCCCCACCACCTTCAACTCCTCTTTTGTACCTTTGTTGATGGGCTTCGCTTCGGGACGGCTTCGGGACGACTTCGGGATGGCTTCAGGACGGTTGCTCGGCTTTCCTTGCCTTGGGTGCTGGAAGAATCCTCGCGCCTTAGTTTTCATTCGAAGCCACCCCCCCTTCGATGAAACTAAGGCGTGAGGACCCAAACGCTGCTTTCCAATCAGAAAAGCTCACCCGGAAGCACTTTCTCATCAAACAAGATGGCGGCACCCAGCAAACCAGCGGCCCGGTAGGAAATGTTTCACGGACCGGTACCAGTCTGCGGCCCGGTGGTTGGGGACCCCTGCCCTAATTAATTCATGAGCCTCAAGCCAAATTTCAAAATAAATTCAATTATTTATTAGGAGCAAGATGTTGGCACTTTTCCTAAGTGCAGTTGGCTCTGCCCTACATAATTTACTGCCCACTTATGACCCTGTTTCCCCCTCCTCCTAGGGCAGTGGTGGTTAACCTTTTTGGGCTCCTGTGCCAAAAATTGTGCGCGCACTTGCATTCTCGCACTCGTGTGAGAAGAAGGCAATGCATGCCCCCCCGCTCCTACTCATGCATGCGCAATCCCCACCCCCCCGCCACCATGCACTGCACTGCATCTCACAGCTGATTTTCGGCCAGTTTGAGGTCTTTTTCAGCCTCCCAGAAGCTTCAGGAAGGCTTCTGCAGGCTTTTCAGGCCGAAAACTATGCCCATTTTGTTACTTCCTGTTTTTCTGGAGGCCAAAAAAAGCCTCAAACTGGCCAAAAATCAGCTGTGAGGTGCATGCATGCACAGTGAGTAAGTTTGCCTGCAGCTCACGTGCCGGCATAAATGGCTCTGTGTGCCACCTGTGGCATGCGTGCCATAGGTTCGCCATCATGGTCCTAGGGTGTGTCATAAATTACATTCTCCAATGGAGCACTCTTGTGGGCTGTAGAAAACACGCCTCTAGAATGTGCTTCTGGTCATAGCAACTGAACTGCTCCATCAGATCTCCCCCCTTCTTCTTATTGCAACTCGAGAGCAGGCCAGGAATGCTTTACGAGTTGACATTTGTCTCCCCTCACTTCCTAAAGGTGACCTGCGCAAAGCAAAAAAAACCTTGAGTATAGGTATAGAATTTAGGGGTGCAATCCTCCCCAGCCTTGTTTGGATTTTCTGCATGGAATTTTGCTATAATGCCTGGATGTTCCTACTCTTTACCCAAGATGCCTCTGATAAGGTGTTGCCCTTCCACTTGATTAAGTATTGGAGTTTTCTCCTGTGCCACCTCGAATCGAGGATTTGCTGCACCTCATAATGGGTTTGGCCCCCTATGATCATGGGGCCTGGGGAGCAGCCTCAGGGTTGATCCAACCACAGGTTGGATCAAGAGACTACAATGAAATACAGGGTGTATCTTCCTTAGCAGTCGGGGCAATTTCAATTGCACCATGACTGGGTTGATGATCTTTATTATGGGGAATGGTCCCATAAACTTTGGCCCCAGTTTCTTGCTAGGGAGTTTTAACCCTAAATATTTTGTGGAGAGATAGACCTTCCCCACAACTGGAATGGCCATTGTGGAGCTCAGTGTTTGCCTGTTTCTTATTGTGCCGCTTTAGCTAATGCTTTTTTAATATTCTCCCAAGTTACTTGCAGCGTTAACATCCAATCTGTCAAGCTGATCAAGGAGGGGGGATTCCTTGGATACTCAGGCATTTGGATGAAGTCCATGCCACTCACTACTTTGAACAGAGTTAGTTCTGTGCTACTGTGAACAACATTATTGTATGCAGCCTCCGCGAAAGGCAGGAGGTCTGCCCAATTGGATTGCTGATAGTTCATGTAGCACCTCAGATACTGCTCTACCATGGAGTTCAGTCTCTCTGCCCCCTCATTGGTGCTCAGATGAAAGGCCGAGCTAAGGCCCTGGGATGACTCAATGGACTGTAGGAACTCCCTCCACAACTTAGCCATAAACTGGACCCCTCTGTCTGAGATAATTCTTCATGGTATTCCATGCAAGTGATAGATGTGCTTCAGGGCAAGCTTGCTAACTGGTGAGTGGAGGGTAGTCCGCTGCAGGGTATGAAGTGCGCCTGTTTGGAGAAAAAGTCTATTACAGTCCAGATCACTGTGTTCCCCCCACTTTTCAGCATCTTCACTATAAAATCCATTGCAATTTCCTCCCGTGGCCTTGTCAGCTCTGCTACCTGTTGCAGCAGTTGGGGTTTTTTCTGATCATTTTTTCATTGTGGCACAGATGGTGCAACTTTTCACATAACTGTCAACATCTTTCATGATGCCAGGCCACCAGAATTGCCTCCTTCTTTAAGAACCCGAAGTGGCCTGCTGGTTTGTCATTGTGGCTCCTCTGGAGGATGAGGGTGTGTAGGGATTCTGGGACATAGAGTTTCATTCCCTTCCATGCTAGGTCATCTCTTTTTGTCAAGATGCGTTGGTTGTCTTGGAAACAGAGGTCTGCCAGCAGTTTGCTTTTGAGTTTCATGATTAGATCACTTGCTGGTCGTGGCATTGTCACCTGGTGGTTACTTGAGCAGCTATTTGGGCAGAGGGGATTATAGCATCCACTATCTTCTCCTGTTCGCATTTGTACTGGGGCATGCAGGAGAGGGCATCAACTAGAAAGTTCTGTCCCCTGGGTTGTGCTTTAGCATGAAGTCGAACCAATTGAAGTATTGAGCCCAGCGGACTTGTTTGGGTGACAGTTTTAATGGGACCCTAAGGGCTCCAGATTTTTATGGTCGGTCCAGACTCCAAAGGCCTCTGCCCCCCTTCCAAGTAGGCGGTGCCAGGTTAACAGTGCCCATCTCACCACTAAAGTCTCTTTTTCCCATGCAGCCCATTGCCTCTCTGTGTCTGTGAGTTTGCAGGAAATGTGAGGCGCAGGGCTGTAGGTTTCCTTGGCTATTTCTTTGGAGTAGCACAGCTCCCACTGCCATGTCACTGGCATCTGCTTGGATGACGAAGGGTTATTCATGTCGGGATGCTTCAGCACTGGTTCTTTTGCAAACAGTTCTTTCAGTGTTTCTGTGATGACCCAGGGCGTGGCACAAAAGCAACATAGTTACATAAGTAAGAAAAGTCCCTTTAATACCTCCAACTTTTCCCCCAATGTCCAGTTAACTTTGGCTGGAGAAAAAACTCTCCCAAAAACAGTCTTTAAGTGGAGGAAATTCAGTCCAAAAACAAATAAACTGTAAATAAAAATCCACAAAAACCACACTGCAGCAATTAACTGGACGGGGCAGGATAAGGAATTGCAGATTCCAACAAAACACAGATAGTTGGGAAGATGCCAAGAACCCAGATAAGCCTCAACCATAAAAG